TGAAATCTCCCATGATTGTGGAGCTTGGTTGCTGGTCAAAACTACGCTACAATTTAATTGTATTCAGATGTCATGCCAAAATGGCATACGTCTCACTTATTTGCTACGAAGGTCCTATGCCATCGGACATGCTACTGGCAGCATCCGCGTCGTGCAGCACGTGGCTACAGGGGTATGTGGTAAGGAACCAGTCAAATTCATCGACGTCATCTCGACGACGGAGAATCACAGGTACTATTAAATGTTCTTGTATAAACGCTTTGCTATGGTACATGTGCATCACAGGTGTACCGGCCGATCGCGGAGGAAGTGCTATTAGAAGATCTTGTCGTTCCTCGCGTAGTCGCGCCACCTCGCACATCAGCAATTGGTGTGGAGCAGTGGACACAAGGTCTAGATGCTGTGAGTGTTTCAGTAAATACAGCCGCATTCCAGGTCTGTAGAGGTAAATTGAATTTCAGACAAATATGAGCTTGGCTCTGGATGAATTCTTTCGTCGGAAAGCTGTCAGAAACCTTTCTACTGAGAATGGCCTCAACAACAAGTTATTTGTCACGGCTTATAGGTCATTCCGCGAATACTGCCTTTGCGAAAAAGTAAGAAAAGCTGGTTCCATTTCATAACAACATTTCTATTCGGATTTTAAGGGAGGAGTCGAGCCAGCTTTGTTGGTGCTCTTTCAAGACATAATCAGAGGAAGTACCGATGTCGAGAGTCTTTTCCCATTTTTCCTTGCTCATGCACGTAAAGTGAGTCCATACTAATTCATTTTAGAAAGTTTTTGTCCAGTTCAAACATCCGTCCATCTATATACGCCTAGAGAATTCTTGTTGCCGGGGTTTTGCCGTTACCTTATCACTAGAATGCGAGGCATTGCTCTCTCTTTTTCTTGCGCTCTTTATTGCAATCTGACTTTACGTGTGCTATTAACAAGGAGCGGTCCTCAGGCCATTACGGTCATTGAAGGCGAGATGTATACTTTTATCTTTGTTGGAACGCTAGCAAACCTGCCCTTCAAATCTGCCAAACGGTTCCACGAGCGTATCTATAAAATTGGAGATCGCAGATGTAGTGGCCTCGGCTCCTACAAGGGAGGTCGTTCAGGGTGTGGAGCGCTTTTTCAAAACGGTTTTTTGCATGCTGTAGGGGCTCTCACGGGGACTACAATACTATGTTTCATTTTCGCTGAGCGGCCCCCTGAAGGCCAAAAATGGTAAAGAAATGGTCCAAGGTTCAATCCCTCTGATGACAAAATTTTTGCATTTAGGTTGGAGCTTCCAAATTCGCTTAAATAGCGCCAGCACCAATATTAGGTATCGTGTTCATTATCAAGACCATCAGTAAGTATTGCACTCAAACTTTTCCAGAATCTGGGGAAAAAAGTTGTAGCGCCAGAAGGACGCCAAATGGCGCCGAAGTGGCGTAAATTGAAGCTATCGGAAAAAATTGGATGTCATATTCAGTGATCAGGGCACTCGATATTTCTAAATTAGAAGTTCTAGAGAAAATTGAGATTTTGACCTTGGATCCGAAAAATTGGCCATTGATAGGTCAGTAGCCCAAGGTACCTTCAGCCGGTGAACTGCAAACGATTTCATTGTTATCCTTCTCAATATGAAGAGAAATTCCGCTATTGAATGGACAATGGCAGCCACTCAAGCTGGTGACGGACACGCATGACGTTGAAGTCCACAGATTTTTCTGCATCATTACGTAGGGTATGTCCGGCTCTTCCATCGCAAGGCTTCATCTCGATAGCTGGAGCGATTTCAAGATTTGCGACATGATGGAGGATTCTCTCTATGAAAGCTAGATCAACTCCGATTTTCCCTGAGATTCGGTGCGGGCGGTATCAGAGTCTTGATTCGGAGATGACATTCGTTATTTGCTCTAACTTTGCGCGCTGCGAGTTATTCGCAGTTTTTGTGATAGAAACTCATTTGCAGGGGCAGTTGATGGTCCTCATTGTGAATAGAGCGTCAATTTTAATGCTGAAGCAGTGTGGCCCCGATTTGGAGATGAAAATCAAAAATGCAAAAAGGGTCGTGGGCGAACCGCAATTCCCATTCTGCGTCGCTGCACCCAAGTCCGCCACGCTATATTGACCATCTGTTTGCTTTGGAGTCCTGATGTATACCGACGACGATATGACTCCACAATTGTAGCACTACTGTGGCATACTTCAATGTTGAGAAATTTCAGTTTTTTGTCGATTCATCTTATATAGAGGGGCCGTCCGAATTATGAGGAAACGGTGGCGTAGGTTATATCCACTTTTTCCGAGTCGCTACATTTTCATTCCTTTTCTGTGCACTATGTGAAAGGGTACAATGTCTTCTTCCTATCTGAAAGAAAATATCATGCACTTCTCGAAACTAGTGAAATAACTGCATCACCTTACGTCAGTCCTCAAATTGAACTCACTAGGGGCTGTGGCACGTTGCATCTAGCGGCAGTCCAACGAATCAGGGAAAGCTCTTATGAGCAACAGTTTTAACTTCTTCAATGAGTTTGGAACCACCACAGATGGAAAATTCGGAGACTCGAAAGTTACAGTTACCACCAGGACAATTATCAGATGCAGAAACTAGTCTCCCCTTGTCGACTTTCGTACTCCCAAAATGAAAAAATCGATGTGAAAACCCAGCCAGACACTCTAAAGACTCCACATCTGTAGTGGATAGGAAGCTTTTTGAGTACTATACTTGGAACTTTTTACAGGACCAAGCACCCAAGAATAGAGCGAAAATCCCCTGAAAAGCGATTTTTCGAGTTCCTGCTTTGAAGAATTGTTACATAAAAACCTTTTATCTTATCACTAAATTCTGTATTTACCTCTGGATGCAAGTGGCAAATGAATGCAGAATTCGGATCCCCTGAGAAAGCGAGGATAGCGGCTAGAAATATTAGGCCGCGTAGTGGCAGTGTCAGCGCACGCGCCATCCCCCTTCATCTGGAGGCTCGCGAACGCGGCAGGTGGCAGATCTCAATTCTATTCTGGATTTACTTTGAGATAAGAGTTGCAAACACTTCCCGAAGTTTGTTTGTTCATCAAGCAACTATGTGTTTTTAACGACCAATGTCTTGGTCCTCATAATTTTGGCCACCCTGTACACTTCAGTGTGCAGGCGATCTTCTCTGCAGACCCGAAACGTTACTCCAAGGGTGCAAAAGCCACGCAATCTTAACAATTTTTTGGTCTTCAGGGGGTTGCTCAGCGCAAATGGAACACAGTGTTGTAGTCTACGTGAGAGCTCCAATAGCATGCAAGAAACCGTTTTGAAAAAGAGCTGAGCGGCCTTCGTCGTTAGAGAAGAGCTCGTTAGATCGGTGATCGAGTCATACCCTGTGTGACTTATGTTAGAACGCCCCCCCACCAGCCCCCCCCCACCACCCCCCCCCCCCTGGACCGGGCGAGCTGAGCGGTGGATAAGAAATATTGACCATGGAAAAAATTGGAATAAAATAAATTGTATAGAGAAACTCAAAGATACTGCCTTGATTTCTTTACTCTTGTGAGCGTTTAATTAACCCATAGAGCCCCAGTTGTGCACATACGTACGAAAGGGATACCTTCGGGGAGAAACGTCAGACAGCTGCAGGAAGTGTAAGCACGAGTTCAATTGATTCTGAAGGAAAAGTGGCGAGCATAAATTTGGACATGCTGAATCCACAGTTTGCAGCTTGAGAAGAAGGTTAGCAAATTTAAGGAACCGGTCTACAGTTCTAAGAAGTTTCTATGAGATTTGGGGACAATTTTTGGGCGTGCGAGCCGGTTCTACCCCTGTAGGATATTATAGTATTTTATTGTTTCTGCTGGAATACAAATTCATTCCCCAAACGTTTGCGAGATGATACTTGGACTTATCTCAGGAAACAGCTGCCATGTTCCAGGTTTCCACATTATAGAGATGGAGAATTACGAGGATGATTTTGATTCTAACTCAACCTCACAACTGGTACCCTGACGCTCGTACTGTCCAGCGAAAGATAATTTTCCACGCTGGGCCGACCAATTCAGGGAAGACTTATCATGCATTGAAACGGTGAGATTCCAGACCTCAAAATACAAATTTCTTTGTTCTAGCTACTATTGAGCACTTTTTCTAGGTTTGGGGAAGCCAAGAGTGGGGTGTATTGCGGACCTCTCAAGCTCTTGGCTTCAGAAGTATTTACAAGAAGTAATGAACTGGGTATCAAGTGCGATTTGGTGACCGGTGAGGAACGAAGGTGGGTCGCTCGAACTTTTTTTTGACTTTCTCTGATCACTTGGCTGGCTACTTCTAGATATGCCATTGACAATTTCCACCCAAGTGCACACCTCTCTTCCACCGTTGAGATGTTGTCTACACAGATGAGAGTGGAGGTAGGATTTTGATATATTGTGAAGTTTTGTGGGGAATTCGGTCCGGATGAAAATATCTGCCTGGGCGAAAATAAATCGTTAGTCAATAAATCGCCAGAGGTTTCACTTTAGGGTGTTAATCGAAATTGACTAGATTAGGTTTCGAGCTTAAAGCACCACCCTACTATGTAGAACACCGAGTTTAGTTGTGACGGTAATAATTACACAAATGGGGGGATCATGCTACTTAATCGACTTTTCCCCTCTCGTTTTTGAGAGGGGGGAATGTATAGAAATTTTTTGGTTTCTTCTAGTATCCTCCTTTTACCGCTCGGTCAGCGACGTTCACTATCAATCTTCACACTAAGCGGCCATCAGGTGTAGTAATTCACCGGCAAGAGCTAAAGACCCCGTAAATCATTCGTTGGTTTGCAGTAGAATACATGGTGTCACGCTACCGGACGTACTTTCGGAGTGAAAGTTGAACAGGCATGTGCTCAAGAATCAGTTTAGGCGGTCTCATGTCGGAAGTCTGGAAATCCTGGGATGTTCACCGTTGAGTAAAGACAACCGCAGTGTGGTAATTCCATAAAAGTGCAAAAAGGGGTACCTGTTTTGTGTCGAAACGTTACTTACATCTTCGTTTCATGGAGCACATTGCTGTAAACTTCCAAGAACAGGGTCGTCCTTGATTCAGACGGCCACTGCTCACAGCTTGTAACTGCAACCAATCGCAACGTTGCAGTTTCCTATGCATGAAAATTTTCTGATTTCCGGACAATCAACTACGCTTGTGAAGGAAGCTTTAAAAGTAATATAGGAATCTGGCTCCGCGCTCCCACCCTACCCTCGTTCCTCATCTGATTCGGCACCAACGGTTACTTCCTACCTTTTTCCTAAAGGAGAAGAGCTATGATTCTATAAACCAAAAAACGTCACCTGATTTTGTTATACGGCACACATGACTGAAAGGCTGCTCTATCCATCGATCAGTTGCGAAGATGGGCAGCTGAGGTTGTTATTGTGCTCGTTACAGTTGGTTGTCGAGAAAGTTATCGTTCTTTGAATATCGCTGCCAGTAGGAGAGATTACTCATTGCTCGACGTAATGCAACAGTAAACGAATTGTAAAAGTATTTCTGCTTCAGGTAGCTGTCATAGATGAGATCCAAATGCTACGAGACGAGCAGCGCGGATGGGCATGGACACGAGCATTACTTGTGTTGCGGCGACGAGGTGCGTATGTGTTTATTTATTATGCATGATCATAGCCGAACTTATTGTTAGTGTGTGCTTCAGGTGCATCTTTGTGGTGAAGCAGCTGCTGTTAATATAGTAAAAAAGCTTCTAGAGCCGATTGGAGAGCACGTTGAGGTTGGTTATCCTAGTCTGTTATCGAAGACATTTTTCATTTTATATTTATTTTTTTTTATCATGCATATTACCGGGGCATCGAAAATTGCATAGTTTAGAATCTGATCCAAAGTGAAGCCAACCAAGCCTTTTTTAATGCTTGCTGTAGCATAATGTGCGACCCATTGCTACGATCCGTCCAAATATTCCCCATGAAACGTCGTCACGTGAGAGATGTAACGATAAGATAGGAACGCCGCGTAAAAATACCCATAAACTAACATTTTCAGACAATTTGTGGTTATAGGTTGCATATAGGTTCATTTTAGTCAATTAGACATGGAATAAAGGTTGTAATGCTATATATAGGTAGTGAAGAAAGTAGATAGATGAGAAAATATAGAGATATTATATAGAATAAAGATAGCTTTTAAGATAAGTTAAAAAAAAATAGAGACACTCCAGAGAGAAGATAAAGTTGAAAGGTTTGTCTCGAATTCTGTTTCCGAGTTATGTAAGTATAATAGGAAGGAAATAAAAACAATAAAAAAAAAAAAACAAAGAAAAAGGCATATGAAATCCCTAATAGGTATTTTATAGCCTTAATAAAAAAACAAAATAAAATAAATTAAAAAAATAAAAAAAATATTAAATCTAACTATGAGAAGTTGGCTGTTATAAGGATTCTGAATGAAAGAAGTTCTTAAAGAGGACAGCGAAATATATAATAATAGATTTTTGATATAATTCTAATTTTTGGTGAGGTATAGACGAGCCAATCACACGATGAATTAGATAGGAAATCATTTCGCGTACTCGAAGTGCGCACAAGGGTGCGATCAGCTTCCTGGATCTCTGCGAGCGTGCTTTCTTATCAAGCGCGGAGTTGCGTTGAGGTTGCCTCTTGATAACTACGTGCTTAGCGTTTTACCCTGGTCCCTACGGCTAGGTGCTCTCAAGTCGTGCTACCTTCGACCTGAAAAATTTCAGTGTTTTCCATAGTACTTCTGCCTTTTTTCTACCAAATTTTCTACTCGCGCTTTTTGTCTTATTTCCTGATCAAAAAACGCACCGATAACGCACCGTTGATGCGTGACTTTAAGCATATGGCCCTGAGAATCACCCTGATCGTAATGAATCGCTACGGAAAGAGAAACTTCTATGCTTAGCGATTTGTTACTGCGCCTCAAGAGGACGATCTCGTTGAATGCAATTCGAGTAGAGGTTTCTGTCATGAGACTAACACCCATCAACTTTTTACTGAAGAGCTATGCCGAGTTGCATAAATCGAGCTGGAGCATTGTTTTTCATACACTTTACACTTACATTTCCAAGGTTTCCACGGAAATGGCCTTGTTTAACCCGTGGTGTTGGCCTATTTCAACTTTTTTTCAGCGTTTTCCTATTGCTTTGTTTGCTTGACTCCTGCATTCAATGGTGATTCCTTTTTAGCGTTGTTAGGAAAAAATGGTAAAAACAAATGGAAAAACAAGCAGAAGTATACTAAAAACATAAAGCATTTAGCATTTTCAATCCCTTTTTGGGATGCGCCACGCATTCCACTTGTCTTAGAATCGTAGTGCATTTTGAGTGCGATTTGACACAACTACTTGGTGGTTAGGAACAAGCCAATGAACAGGTCAGTGTTTCTGTCTTCCCGGATTACCAGTTACCCGATCCCGGAGGGATGGAAGCTTGGTTCGTCTAAATGGCACCTTCCATTATTTGGTTACCAGGTCGTGGGAGTAGTAATTAGCGCCACATGCCGCTACACCACTTCCACCCTCCAAACGCATAATACTTCGGTGAAAACTTAGAACCTGATGATCAGATTGAAGAATGAGTCCTCATTTGAAATCGTAGAGACATGACCTTGATTTCTTACTTCTTCATATTGACTCAGCGCCTGTTCCTGTGCTTCTGAACCGGAACACTGATTGACTGCAAGGGTGTTGTAAAAGAGTTCTTTGGACTTTCACATTTTCGTTTTTATTTGGATTTTTTAGGTGCGGTACTACGAGCGAAAGACGTCGTTAACGATAGCGAATCAAGGACTGGGATCGCTGGATAACGTGCGTAAACATTGATGCAGCAAAAGAAAGGGAATGAAGATTAATATCTTACTTTTAAGGTTCAACCTGGTGACTGTATCGTTTGCTTTAGCCGTAAGGCAATCTACAGCATCACTAAAAGCCTTGAAAAATTGGGAGTGAAGCCTGCTGTCATTTATGGGGATCTACCGCCTGGCACAAAACTTGCTCAAGCTGCAAAGTTCAACGACCCTAATGATCCTTGCAATGTTTTGGTATGTGTAGTGGT